ACTTCAAACAGCAGAGGAGGCACAGCCACTCTATGTTTTATTTAAAGCAACACAAGAAAGTTAGTAGATTCAGCTTTATATGTAAAGCCTTTAACTAAAAGCCCCACCACATCAAAAGTGCTCACTTTAACATGGTTTTCCATCAGAAGCCCAAGGAATTGGTCGGCTATAAACAACTTTAAATTTTATCCATGGTTTGACCTGCAATCCCTGTTTGTTCCATTTGGATTTTACTTCATTTTTAATTAAAAACTAAATAATACAAACTGTACATGTAGGATAACTGCAGTTTCCTGTAATATATTAGCTTTGAATTAAATCTAAAAATAGATTATTGGAGCTGAACACCAAAGCGTATTTCAATTACAATGGATGTTAAAATACTGTATCGAGTGGAAAAAAATTACCATGGTAAAAATCATCACCAGTTATCAAAACTTATATCCAAGTCATTTTTGCAAGGTCAAAAAACTTTGCTCTAAATATTTCTTTATGCTAATTTTTTTTATGAGTGCACCAATTATGTCAATATTAATATTTTGAAATATATGAATTCATACTAACATTGGGCACTTTTTAGCTGCAATTCACTATTTTCAAAATTCAATAAAGCTTGGCAAGATTTGATCTGATAACTAAATGATTATCTAGTTGTTGGCTTAACATTAGAAGCTAATCACCTGGAACTAAACCGCTCTTTAATCCTTAGCTGTCACGTGTGCCTGTCTGCGTTAACTACATGAATCAGATTCACATCATTTCACCAGTGTTGCTTTAAAACAGCAGACAGACTGATTATACCTTAACAGTGTTATATGTGCAAAGAGCCAAAAAGATGAATGATACTCTTAACTGGGGTGGTTGAAAGGGTCAAAGTGCATGTGGTAGCTGGCATTCATTTTATGGCAGCAATACTGGAGCAGATTTACTTAGATGACGTCAGTGGCTCTGAGCCAGCTTTTCCTTTCTCGTGCCACTTTCCACTGGCCTCGGTGGTCCCTGCTACAACTGCTGCGTAGCAGTGTGTACTTTGCGATGCAGGTTCTACACTACGTTTACCTAAGGGCCAAACATTCTGGAGGACTGCAGGAAAGTTGATGTGACTTGGAAAACTAGATGCTGGCAAATCATTTAGTCACACAGTTAAAGATTTTCTCTTACAATTCAAATGAGCACAAACTGGATCTTTCATAGCAAATAAAAGCATTGTGCATCATTTCAATTCCAGTTTTGTGGAAAATGATCAAATTTATACCAAAGATAAGCACAATTGTTTTCCAGAGGTACTTATACAAATTTTAAAGCCTTTCTAGTTGTCCGGTTTGAATGTTTTCTTTTCTAAAATAGTGGTTATTTGACCTTTGTTTTAGAATACAAACTGTTTCTATTCTTTCTTATCAATGAGAACTATTGTTCTTGTTTCATTTTATTGTACATCCAAAACATTCAGAAAATAGAATTAAAACAAGTAGATTCCTATGCACCTCAATATGCACCAACAAAGTATCCTTAATCATTATCAATAGCTCTTTATGAATGGCAGTGACATTTTTTCTCACATAGGTATTCCATGAAAGGATCAACATGTCTTTGCCTAAGCTTTTTAGAATTTTAGATAAGGGGTTTATTGATCTTAGTGCTTATTGGTTTCATTTTTGATGATGATACACGGGTAAAAATTATTTGGCGCACAAAAAAAAAAAAAAAAATATATATATATATATTTTTTTTTATATATATATATATATATATCCTCTTTGTGTCTTTGCCAGTTATTACCTCTTTTAAATAAATTGCCGATGTTATAGCAATGACATTTCCATTTATTTACTGGCAATGCCAAAGCTAATTGTACACTGTGCATCCTAATACACACACAATATTTTACAATCATAAAAGATGCACAGAAACAAAATGCATTTTATTTTTTTATATTCAGATACATGTTAAAGATGGTAGACACACTAGCATGTGGGGCATGATAAAAGACAGACTGTGAAAAATGCTTTACAACACGAGCTGCAAAAAAATGAAAACAAGCACTAAGTCTAGTGTAATAAACAACTAAGGCAAGTTTATCATAAGCAGTAACTCGGAAATCAACAATGCTGAAACTTATAAGAGGTAACTATAATTTTCTTGGTTATTTCAAAGCCTAGATGCTGTTAAAGAAAGAGGTGCTTTGTCAGCGCAATAAAACATATATAAATCCTGTATCTAACTCTTGCATTGTAGTTCTATTTGGAAAGGATGACAAAGTAGATACCATGCTCATAGATTAGTTACTTCCTCACTGCCAGACCACAACTCCTTCCTTTCACATTGATCTAGCAGGCCAGTAGGAAGTAAAGAAATTAGCAAAGCAACACGGGCACATAGCTCCAGCCTCTGTTCCAACAATACTCAGACTCAGAAAAAAAAAGGCTTCATGCCATAAGTATGGACACAGTCACTATAAAAAGAAAAATACTATTTACAATAGATCTGCAGTGATGTGAGTATTGCTAGCTCTAACATATGTTTAATCATTCAAGTGGTGTGTGTTGCTTTAATTAATAAAGAACAGTTTTAAAAATGTCCATCTGCAGTTCTAGATGTGATTCTTTTTATCTCTCATATAAATTGTAAAATCTCTTCTACTAAAATCGATGAAAAATGGTCTTAGGTAATCTGTAAAATATTCTTATTTTAAGAATTTAAGATGAATGCATGTGAGCAAAAAAATTTAGTTATTTTAATTTACAAACACATTCTGGCTAATTCTAAATGTAATTCATAAGTGAAGGTGTGGCACCATCCCCAAAATGTTATCCAGGCTGCTATCCAGCAAGTCCAGTGGTTACATAATATAAATGACAAAGCATTGTTTTTCCTTTCTTTTTCTTTTTAGTAAGCTGATTTATTGTAACAGAAAGGGAAAGTGTTTTTTCTACTTTTAATCTGTACATATTAGCTATCAATGTTCTGCAAAGCTATATTTAATACTGTTTACTACAAGAGAACACATGTTACATAAGTTAAGAGCATGCATTCTACCTTAAAAAAAAAAAGAAAAACCTAATCCTTAAATATAAAAGGTGTGAAGATCTGCGGACAAACACTTGCACTGAACGTCTATTATTTATTCTTTTCCAGCTGTTATTATTTTCATGTAAACAACATGTCTGTAATCTTAATGAGATATTAAAACACAGACGGAGAGCTCACAAGAGAGCAAGTAGGATTACTTGATTTGTTGTATTGCTTTCAGTTAAACTAATAATCTATATAAAAAACAAACCTTGATTAAATCAAATCAGGTTATAAGAGCAGAGTCAGGTGTGATCTGATGACCCATTTGTATGGCAAACCAAATTTAAGCATTTAAAAGAGAAAACATTCAGTGTGACACATGCTTTAATTATTCTATGTGGACAGAATAGTGCATGTTTGTGAACAATATAACACTTATAGATCCATCTGATGCAGGATGCTACTTATTTCTCTCTGAGCTTATACCGGCTACCGACAATGAAATGTTTACCTTTGAATAATCGATGCTGTTAAATATACACAAAGTAGAAAAACGTATATACATTTAGAAGTATTAATATTTGTGATACTCGAAAAAAAATTAATAAATATGATAAGGTGTGAAATCCAAATATGTCATAAACTGCAGACAAAAAAAATCAAGCTTGTGTCCTAAATCATATCTAGTTTTGCATATAGCAGTATGCCTCTCTATCTCTGTATGATCAGTCTACTAAAGTGATTCCTCTGCTTAACCGCCTAAAAAATGCAATCAAAGACTATTTAGAGTTTTTTGCATATGTGCTTTGGTTTGATTAAAATTTATATATTTGTAATTCAGTTATATACACAGCCTTTTAAATGTATTCATACCCAATTTCTTTATATCACATTACAGCCATGTGTCTTCATGCATTTTGTGCAACAGACTGAAACAAGGGAAAACAGAATAGACCCTAAATACATAATCAGAATTACAGAGGAATGGTTAATCAAACTATATTAATGTGTAAGGGTGGCCCAGTCAAAGTCCACCCTGAAAGTAATTAATAATCCATTGATCTAAACCCGCTGTTCTCAAACGCTCTGCATACAATCTGACTGGAATTAACCACAGGAAAAGGAATGCAAGCTGCTAGAGACATAACCAGAAAAAAGACTTTGCAGCTTCAATTCCAGTGAAACATGTTTAAAAAAAATAAATAAATATCTACGCATAGGAAAATTTCAGATCTTAAAAGTGTTGAAAACTTTTCTCCTTTTCCTTCTGCTTTACAATCCTGCGTCAGTTTGAGCAGCTCTTATGCATAAGAAACAACAAAGTTAGTGGTTTTTAACCAACAGGCTGTGATCATGTTCAAGGAGTATGAATAGTTCTGCAAAAGACTTTAAGTATATGAGTTATAATTTCAAATAGTTTTGTAATTATTTGAAATTTAATACATTTAGAGAAAGACATTTTACAAAAAACAGCACTTAAAACGACTTTAACTATACAAACTTTGCCAAAAAAAGGGTGATCCCCATTAAAGTCTTAAGTGTTGCCCTCCTAAATGTGTGTGGAGGAAATGATTGTAACAGAGTTGGACAGCAGCTGGACAGGGAGAGGGGGTAGATCAGTTTTAGCTGAGCAGGCATTTCCCAAAGCAGAGAACCCACATTAAAGCTCTATAAGGCAGTTTCCACTCATTTCAAATAAGTCGCCACAGCTTTTTAAGGTTTCGTTGCATGGAAAATCCGGTAAGGTTAGAGTTGAACATAAAATAGTGTTTTCCCCCTTTTTAAAATAAAGAATTATCCTGATCAGATCTTTATACTATGGAGTCAAACAATGCGCACAATTATTTAACTCTGTCACCTTTAATTATGGAACAAGAGACTCCAAAAGACTTCCTTATTCATAATTTGGTTTCTTTACTTACAATAACAACGTGCCCCAAACAAGCTTTCAGAACAAACAAACAAACAAACAATAAAATAATACTTACACTTAAACTTCGATGGCGATCTTAAAGCGGCGCCGTCAGCCGCGCTGAAGCAACAAGTCTCTTGTGTTTGTTTTCTTTCTTTCTCCGAGGTGGTCCGAAAAGGCTCCAACTACAGGGGAGGAAAACAGCAACGTTTCCAGCCGTCATCTTGTCCCCAAAAAACTGCATTACGCCTTTTTTTCTGTTTATTTTTATTCGCCCTAAATTCAATAGAGAGCTTTTATTTCCCGCAGTCTGACGAGGAGTAAACGCAACCTGTGGCTTTTATAAGGGGCAGCAGGATCAGCGCTTCTTTACAAAAAATGTGAAAAATGTCAAAGATTTTCGCTGCCGTGTCAAAGCCGTGGGCTACAGCAGAGTGTTTAAAGTGAGCAGCGGCCATCTATCCCCACCGAGGAAACAAACGAGCAAACCTCACTTCACTAGATGGGATATTTCCTAAATTCCTGGATAACATTTGAACACACTGTGCAGTCATTCTAAGACATCTAAACTAACCCTGGATAAGAAGTCTACAACCAGTTTGCATACCTGCAACTAGATGAAACTTACCTCGTTATTGATATGTCATCTACAAATGTCCCTTTCTTTTGCTAATGTGATGTTAGTGGGGATTTTGAATACTATGTCAAGTTATTCTGGTGTTTATGGGCCGGCCAGGAAAGGTGGAGGTGAATCGCTTCACGCACTGACAGAGATGCGAAGAATGCTCGGAATGAGAGCAGGAATGAAATGAACGCAGGGAACGAGTTTGCGCCTGGGCGGAGCGAGTGGTGGCGTCATCCCGGGCCCGGGGGGCCAGCAGCCAGCCCGGGCAGCAGGCAGCGGCGGCGGCGGAGCGGCAGCAGCGCAGCGGGGACTAGGAGGAGGAGCGCGCTGAACATCCCAGGAGCTGATGCCTTCAGGGAAGGAAAATAGACTCGGAATTCTCAGCTTCACTGAATGAAACCAACTCCACGTAAAACACATACTAAGCAAAATCAAATAAAACACTTTCATCTCATGTCTCACAAACCCGTGCATGATTGAAAAATCACCCATGTATTGCACTCATTTGACCCACTTGGTCCAGACTGTTTCCCACTGATGGGCATTCAACATATTTTCTGAGTAAACTTATACATTTGCCATACAGTTTTATCTGAGCCTTGATTCTCAGTGTGATCCTCCCGGTTGAAATGTAAAATAAAAAAAAATAAAAAAATAATGAATTAATTAAAAAAAATAAAAAATAAAATGATTAATAATAATGGTAATAAATATAAGTACATATTCAAAACCACTAGCTGGCCACCAAGCCATGCATATATATGTTCAGCTGCTTTGTCAAAAAAAGCAATTTACCGCTCCAAAACTTTCTGCATAAAAACCATAGACACCAACTCTAAAACAACCTGCACTGCCACTCTAAACATTACATTTCTCAAAAAAAAAGTCTAAAAAATTATTAAGATTGTAACTCTGATTACTTGGGCTGACTTACAAAAATCAGTTTTCCAATATCAATTTATAAAACCTTTGAATTGATTCTCGTCAATATTTGCAGGGAAACTTTCTGAGACAGTCAAAGAAATCAAAGTTTGCAATGTGCTTGTAGCCACTTTATTTACTCATGCTGCTCTTTTTGTTCAGTAAAATAAAATTAAATTAATATACATCATTTGCTTTTTTTGGTCTGTTCCTGTTAAATAAAAATTTGATAATTAATGTAACTGCATGTGGTTTTACGCTCAACATATGTATAGATATTTATATTTTTACTACTGCACATTAGATTTCCTACCATTGCAGCATCTAGTTATTCTGAGAATGTCTTCCATATTCAAATACAATTAGTACTGCCTGATATTTTTTGATGAATAATAAGACTTTAAGATTTAATTGTAAATCAAACTGAATTGGTCCCTTTTGAATAGAATAAATATGGAAAATCTGAATCAATACACAGCGCTACTGATTAGGGCTGAACACTATTTAAATACCCAAGCTTTGAAAATGAAAAAATTATGAATATTTGAAAATTTCTTCCCTTCTTTTCAGAAAGAGTCTAACCCTCAGTGGAAATATATGATCACCTATTGTTATATCATGGAGTTGTAACTGAACCATATTTTTTCTGTTGTACCAGAAAAGTTTGAGTAATGTAAAATGTTATTAAGCTTTTTCCAAGTCCCACAAAGAAGATAAAATAAAGATTATGGAATGGTGTTGTGAATGTCCTAGACCTATATCTGATTTGATGCTGTGCTATGATCCTAAACAGTTATCTCAAATGTTAAAATTACAGTTGCTTGTTGCAAAGACTGGGAAATTACTTAAAAGGTAAAGGATCAGTTTGGTTTGGTCAGCTTTTTTCTTTTAATAAATCAAAAAAAACAATAAAAAATGTATTCTTATTGCAAAATGTATTGTCCTTGAAGCTTGTGTGTAATTTTCACCAACCTCTAATGGTTAGACTATAGATTACAGCAACATGAATCGCTCCCCTCCGTTCTTAAAATGGCTTCTGGAACATCCACATTGTTTACATAGATCATTTTATAAATTGTATTTTATAAATCTTAATAGGATATAGATTTTATATAGTCCTAACTTGCCGCAGTCATATTTGAGCAAAACAGTTTTCTCTATAGTTACTGATTTAGCTCTGGGCTACCTTAGAGCAATGATGTCTGCCTCCTTAAATCTGAGACCCGCTTCATAGTAATTATAAACAGTAATTTCTAAGGCAGTGCAAACATAAAGATTGAGGCTTTCAGTTTATGGGTGATAATTAATAGCATACTTATGTATAATATACTACATTTTTGTCAGTAAATCTTTTATCTACTAACCACCGTAGTAATATCAAATTTAATATAATATGTCAGAAAATAGCAACAACAGACATAGATCCATTTTGCATTAAAATAATTAATAATTTTCTATTTTACACAATGTTGGACTTTTTTTATTAATTGAATTGACAAAAGGCTGTTAAGGAAACAGTTATAAATATTTAAATGAATAATAATAAGTCCCAAAAAAAAAACAGAAACTGATATTAGATTAAGTGTTTTACAGAGCAATATTTTACCTGACATAATATAGACATCTTCATCTTTGCTCACACAAGTTGGTGAGATTAAAATAATAATAAAATAATAAAATAATGTATAAAGAACACATGTTAAAAACATGTATTTATTCTTAATTATGTGAGATTCTTATGCTCACTATTATAAAAACTTACTGTGCTGATCTGTTTTTTCTGGCATATTTTTTCTTCATACATCAATTTTTAAAAAGCAACTAATAAAACAATTTGACTAATTAACTTTTCCGAATTAGTTATATTCAGTGTGGTCGCTAAAACCTTCCCATTCATTATAATCTGAACATTTTTATTATTATTTTGATTCCAACAGCTGGCTTAACATTTAACATACACATTAAACATATTTCATAACGATCAAATTGATCTCATTAAGAAGAAATACTTCAAATAAAGTGAGGAAGTAAAAATACAACCTCACCACGGTCTGTCTGAACAAGTCGTCTATTAGAAGCAAAGGTTTTGACACCAATCTTTTAAAAAGAAAGGCTTGTATGAAGATGGACGACTGCTCCTCTGAGGACATCTATCAACACCTTTTAACATCTGTCTCAGCATGCTCTGCTTGCAGATAGAGGGACACAGGAAAGTGTAACGTTTTGAAAGACCTGCGCTTTTCCATCCTGATCCCTGAAATGTGATTTTTCTTCATTTAACAATATCCCATAGCAAAGCAATTTCAACTTTCAACTCAACTCTTATCATGTCACCCAAAGCAACAATGCAAAAATGATGAATGTTGTATAAAGACACTGAAGACAAATGAAACATAGGAGCGGGAGGTAAAACTGGCAATTGATCAACTAGTTGTGTTTAGAAGCAGAAAAACCAAGCCCTTTTGGGGTGTTGTGTTGGTTGATTATTGTAAAACACTTGAGATTTCTATGTCTAAGCTACTTAATTAAGTTTTATGTTCTTACTATAGTCACATTTGCATGGTTTCAGATAAGGAGACAATTCAGATGATGTGACTAACTTTCAGGGACAGTAGATTCTGCAGAGAATGATTTGGTTGCTTCACTAAATGTCAGCAGCTACACTAGAAAGAGGTCAAATCTAACCATTCAGATCAAAAGTATTGCATCTTATCATTCCTGTAAGTGGTGAATAGAAATAGTGACTAATAATTGTTATTTAAAAAATCTGCAGAGAGTTGTGCATATCTGTGCTCCTGATGTTTACATTGGATGTTGTATTCAAATAATATAAGAAAACAGCATCCAGCTGTTAAAAAGTGAAAGATGAAATGTGTTACACCTGTTTGGAGGGCTTTGCTTGTTTTAACACCTGAGTTATTGTTTTATATTTCATATTAATTGCAAATTAGTTGGAGAAACACAAAATAAGTTTGGTTTGTTTAGAGCAAATGTTAACTTTCTCCTAAATGGAACATAAGAGCTCCACTTAGGTTTGCAAAGTAGCATTTGGATGGATCACAAGAGTTAAGGGGAATGGCATTTTGACAAATGAGACCTCAATAGAGGTTTTTGGGAATGTACCATGCTATAGTTGTAAAGTGTAAAACCAATTCCTTGGGTTTATAACTCTGCTGTTCCAAAGGGCTCTGTACTAGCTCATCTTCTCTGTAGTATGAATATTATTGTCATCTGCACATTTGGTCAAGTGACTTTTTGATATGTTGTTTTTACTGACTTTAAAACCAGGCGTGAAGTTGAAGGCACCGTAATATATGGTTGGGATTATCATACATGCTGCCTCAATTTAAGTTGTGTATAGCTGAATGTGAAAAAAAACAACATTTTGAAGTAGGACTGAAACAATTAATTGGATTATTTGTAATTAATAAATTATTGAAATAATCGTCAACTAATTTATTAATCTATTAACCACTAACTGGAGAATAGAGACTCTACAACATGTTTATCTGACAGAGAAACCCACACGGAGCAGCAATTATACCAAAAGTGTAAAATAAAAACAGATTAATCGATTTGCTAAATAATCGTTTAATTGGGATGTTTTTTATTTATCTGTTGGATTCTGCAGTATTTTGTGTATTTGTTTTATGGGGATAAATAATAATAAATAATGAATAATTATAAAACCTAGTAAAAGACAGTTTACATTTTATTAGGTTCTGATACCTCAAACCAAAGAGGGTTTCTCTGCTCTTTTCTAGGGGTAAAAACAGCAAAGACAGACATTAAACAAAAGACAAAATGTTAAGACTGTAAATGTTAAGAATTCTGCTCAACCCAAATTCTTAAAAAATAATCAGTTTGAGTAAAAGAAAAATCTTTGTTTCCTGAATATTATTATAAACCATTCAACAATAAGCAAGTGACAAGGAATGAAATAGCTGGGGAAACAAGTCCAGATACATTTTACATTATAAACTAGGGCAAACATTTGCCTTATGTAATGCAATGATGCTACGATGTTCTGTTACTTTATATCCGGTTCTATTTTCAATAGTGATTTCACATAGCAATAAAAAAGATTACATTCTAGTGCCTTTCACAGCGGTATACAGATGCATCTAAAATGCCACAATTATGTCTGAAATTTAAAATCTATAAAATATGTAGAGATGTTTAATCATTGATAACTATAAATTGATTATTAAATACCTATTTAAGAGAACTTTACTTTTCTGTTTTGAACTATCAGCCCTACAGTGTTTCTATTGTTCACCTCATTCCTGTTTCTGGGCTTGATAAGGCTGATCTGTGCTGTGGCATTGCTCTGATTTAACCCTGCTCCCTCACAGAGGAGAAGGTAATG